ACTTTGCTGTCGCTCCCAAACACATCCCCACAGAAACCATCATATGCGGAGTTGAAACCAGCCTGACCAAAACCAACCCTGATGATGCTAACAAAATCAGACTTGAAATCACCAACATCCTCTGCACTAGCAAACCACCCAAAAGCAACTTATCCAAAGAAGAACAAACTGCACTACTTAACCTGAAAGAAGACACCAGCATAATAATTCTACCAGCAGACAAGGGCAATGCGACAGTGGTTATGAACACATCTGACTACCAAACCAAGTTAACCAACCTACTCCAAGACCCCGCATACAAACCCCTAAAGACAGACCCCACCACCTACCTAGAAAAAACTACCAAATCCAAAATAAAAGCCTCCCCCATCAGTGAAGAAATCCATTATCATAGGCATGACACACACACATACTGTTCCAGTTGCCACAGTTTTAGGAATTCTTATTTCTGGTGGAAAATATCTTGAGAATGTATAATATTTTCAGAAAAATGCCCCTGTTTTCAGATCTGTAGTCATCAACTTTTTTCTGCTTTTGTCTCTCAGCTTTTCGAATTTCTTCTCCCCCTCATTCTCTGTTTATTAATTGCTTTTGAATCTTGCTAGTCTCTGTTGGTAGAGGCTTTAAGCCTCCTTAATGAAAGATAAAAGACAATTCACTATAAATGTTTTAAAACAAATTAGTTCCCTTGTAAACTCCCACATCAGTGGTTCTTAACCTTTTTGAAAGAATCACCCCCTTGAGCCATTGAGGAAGTTATCATCGCCCCCCTCCCCCAACATAACCTCTCAATCACAACACAGGGAAATAATTTTTCAATTTATACAAATATGTTTTTTGTTTTCTTTAAAATTGTCATTAGGACATATTGATGCAAATAATTTATTTCCAGTCTTTTTCCCATATCAACTGTGTGAAAAATTCTGATGCCACCCATCACTTTACTCCCAAACTTTGTGATACATGTATTTCATTATTATTTATTCAAGACACTTAAATGCAATGACCACTGAAAACAAAATTAAATTGCAAGAAAATGAAATGCCTGTAAAAAACAGTAACATTTAATGATTTAATTAAAAGTGAATTTTAAGACGCAAAAGGAAATATAAAAAGGGCATAAAAACAAACCGCAATGCAGGAACTAAGAATTTCAAGATGAAAACTCTGAAACTAAATTAAGATTTGAGGAAAATATATATTCATGCACACTGTAAAAAGGGTTAAAAAGACACAAAGAAAATTTTTACAGAAGGAAAACAACAAAAATCAGAGCGACAAATTTAATGGGTAGAGTGATAGAGGCTGCTGTGCAACGTTTGTACTGAAGCTAGCTGGAGGAACATTTTAAAACACAGTTCAATCCACTAATAGCGAGTGATCTGATGTTTTTGTATGACAGATATACAACAGTTCACTGTATGAAAAAAGTCTCAAAAGTGTCCCCAAAACTTCTTGCTCCATTACCCCCATATTACCCCCCTTCTGTTCCTTCACCTCTGCATCGCCCCTTTTTGTTCAATCGCCCCCCTGAAAAACAAAATCGCCCCCTGGGGGTGATATCACCCAGGTTAAGAACCATTGTCCTACATGGTTGTTTTCCTTGAAAAAGATCAAAGCAAATAAATTGGCAAGTAAAGCCAAATGCACAGGTATAGAAAATGTGATACCTGGTTCAACAGTAGCAAGTGTGAAAGGTATTGAGGTGTCCTGGTAGACTATCTCTTAAATATGAGCCAACAGTGGGCTCCAGCTGCCAAAAAAGTTAATGCAGTCCTAGGTTGCATTAACAGAGGTATAGTTTCAAGATCACATAGTGATATTACTATTTTATACTGCACTGGTCAGCCCATGCTTGGAATATTGCATCCAATTTTGGTCACCATAATACAAAAAGATGTTGAGACCTTAGAACAGGGGTGTTAAACTTGCAGCCCTCGGGCTGAATGCATGATGCCCATTTTAGCAAAAGGGAAAAAAAGTCTACGACATGACAATGCTAGTTTGACACTCCTGCCCTATAGAATGAGTGCAGAGAAGAGCAGCAAAGATGATTAGGAGACTGGAGGCTAAACTATACAATGAACAATTGAAGAAACTAGGTATGTCTAATCTAATGAAGAGAACTGGGGGTGATATGATAGAAGTCTTCTATTACTTGAGCAGCTGCCACAGAGATAGAGTCAACCTATTCTCAAAGCACTTGAGGGCAAGACAAGAAATAACAGGTGGAAGATCATTAAATTGAGATCCAACCTGAAATTAAGGAGAAATTTCCTGGCAGTGAGAACAATAAATGGGACAGCATACTTGTGGAAGCTGTGGATGCATCATCATTGGAGGTTTTCAAGAAGAGACTGGACAGCTATTTGTCTAAAGTGGTATAGAATATCCTGCTTAAACAGAGTATTGGATTAGATCATTAGAAGATCTCCAAGGTCTCTTTCAAATTTATTTTCTATATATTCATGGTACATTCTATGCTGTTAACCTACAAATCAGCTTTGTATATTAATAGCTTATGGGACTTACTATGGTTGTCCAGAATGCACCAGGTTAAAGGCACCAGGCTAGAACCAGGAGATTGTGACTTCTAGTTCCACTTTAACACAATCAGCTGGGTAACCTTGGGACAGTCGCTCTCTCTCAGCCTTAGGAAGGAGACAATGAAAACCACTTCTGAAAAACATTGCTGAGAAAATTGCAAGAAATAGATTAGGTTATTGACAGGAGTCAAAACTGAGTCAAAAGCACACACACACAAATCAAAACACAATTAGCAAAAATGATCTTATCTTAATGATGTACTATGCTATGGAAGTCTATGAAATAAAGCAAGAAATGCCAAGTACTATAACTCTTAGCCACTGGCTGGAACTAATGGCATTAAGCAGTGTATATTCCCTTTTCCGTTTGCATGCCAGAAACATCATTTATCTCCAGGTGGTCTTTCAAAAATCTGCCTAGGTCTTTTGTTATAGCAGAGCTTGTGACTGTATAATTGTATCTATCGACAGTAATGCATTGTTACAAGTAAAAGGTAAACACTTCGAGTCAAATCTGACTTCTGATGACTTCATAGTTTTTATTGTCACCTACCTGTTTGTCTTACTTATATTCCTGGGAGTTTCGGATACCAACCTGTCCAAGTAATAGTCCAGCCTAGCCTGTGTAGCTTCTCAAAACAGCCAAAATCAGCTTGCCACCAATAAAATATGTCTTTGTAAATTAATTTTTCCTGGGAATGAACAGGTTTGGCAAAACAATTGCCCTATACCCAAGCAAACATTATTTTTGTCCTGGAGAAATTGCCCATTTAGGGAAAACACAGAATAGGAAAATAAATAAGATCTTTTTCACACTAAATAAATGCATATTTTGTTCACATAGGTACATGGGCACATATAGGAGACATGAGGAGCTGTGGGTTGATTTCACTGACTTTATTTCAAATAAATTTTTACTTTGAATTACCAAACTGAAGAGTTTTATTGTTTGGATTAACAGGAATGTTAAATTTATGGCTTAAGACATTGTTTTTTAAATTTAATGAATGTAGATGTTTGGGGCATGCTGTCTAGGGAATTCTAGGAGTTCGAATTAATCTTCAAGTTGCCAGGTTTGAAAAATATTGATATAAGACTTTGTAATTTCCTTTATGTTACAGCTTATAGTATATATGTAGTGAAATAGTTATATGGTTTTTTTTTTAGGGACAAAAAGGAGACATAGGACCCCCTGGAAGTATAGGCCCACCAGGACAGTTAATAGCAAGTAAGACTGGGCTTTCTTAATAGCTGTTTTTCTGCTTTAATTTTAATAATACAATTATGCTAAACAGAATATACATTTCATGCTTGTTCAACCACTAGCTGAAGGAATTTCATATTTTTAAGATAACATTTTAGGGGTCACTAGGCTTTGAGGAAGGTATATGTGGAATTCGGTAAGCAAACAGCCATGGCTAAAATCACATAGCATATCATCCCCTTGATAATCATACTATATGCTGGAGGCATTCAGTGGCAAGGAAAAAGAGAATGGTATTATCCTCTGTCTCTTTGAAGTTATGATAAGCATGAAATTGATAGTTGATGTGAAATATCATATTAGAGATAAATCAAGCAAGGAACAGATTATTTCCCTTTCTGTCTGAACTAGGTAAGAGAGATGTACAGAGATTTCAATCGCTGCAATCTTTCTTAAATTCAAAATTATTGATACATTCATCAATTTTCTTTTTTTTTTTTTTTGGTAAAAGTTTTATTTCAATTTTTGACATTTTTAAAGAAACATCTCTTTTTAGTGAACAGCATGACTCCAGGTTATCACATCTCCGTACAGACATAATTTGGTTTACATATTCATCTTTCACATTTAGTTCATATCAACCTCTATATATTTTCGATTATTTTTCACAAATATTTTCTTCAAGCTTATTTATAAATTTTCCAATCATTCCTTAACCTATTCCTTTTAGCTTTAACTAATTCTCATATCATATTTATTATACTTATACTTTTATCTGTCATAATTACAATTTCATCGCATATTCTAATTTCATCATTTCAGGTAATTCCATCTTAATTCAAACACTTTAATACAAAAGTTTCTCCTACAAACACCAATTAAAGTGTGCCACCCCTATATCTTATATATCATCTAATGAGTTCCCTTTTAAATCCCAATAATTATTTAACTTAATTATCCCTTTAAACATTTATAACAATAATCTTCTAACAACTACCTAACAAATAAACTTTTTATAGCAGATTCTGCATGGTGTTTTCCCTTTCAAATACATAAAATACATTTATAATATAACAAAAAAAAGAATTAATCTATTCAAATCATCATAAAGAACTGATATTAATTTCATTACAACAATTCTCATATTTCATTTTAACTATATTCTGTAAAATCATTAATTATAGTTATCAAACTTATTATAATTTCTCTTTATTCATATTCTTCCATTTTTTCTCCCCGCTTATAATCTCATTACGACAATCTTTATAATTCATTTCAATTATATTCCATAACTTTATCAGACTTAATAAGTTATCATAATTTTTCTTTTATCACAGTAGTTCCATTTATCTCTATGTTTAGTTTTCCAATAAACCAATATTCCAATAACAAGAATATATCAGTTCCAATCTTGCATTTAATAATCTATATTTCTCTACTTGATAAATAGTTTAATACTTCTAATATATTTGTGCTACACCTTAACACCTTGCTGTATCCTCTTTCTCAATTATTAGTTAACCATTATCTCTATTTAAATAAATAAATAATTTCTTTTCTGTCTTTTAAATAAATTTCTGTCTTTTAAATAAATAATTTCTTTTCATTTTTGTACAATTCCCATATTTCTTTCTTTCTTGGTTCTGTTTTTAAGACTTCTTTTCCCCTTCATTTCCCCTTTTTTTTCTTATTCCAATTCTTATGCCCCTCCCTTTTTAAAACTTTCTTCTGCAAATCCCTTTTCTGCTGTTTCCTTTTACTTTGTTTGGTTCTCAAAATATTCCCCTTTTTAGTTGCCTCTTCAAATCTCAATTTTTTCCCCCTTTCTTTCCCCTTTCTGCTTTAAATCTCATTGCTCCAAATGCTGATTGAAAATGGTCTCTTCTTTAATGAACTCCTCCTCTTCTTTTGACAATCCATGTTGTTCTTCATACTTTAAAATCGCCATTTCTAAAAATTGTAGTGCAAAGCCAATTTGCCTCTTTCTTGTAACTTTTCTTTCATATTTCTCAGTTCCATTTTTAATTCCAAAAAAAGTTCTGCCATCTTTGATGACTTCTAGCCAGTAATTTAATTCAGCCAATGTCTAAAGGATTTATTTCTAACAATTAGCTTTATTGATTCTTCTTTAGATTTTCAGTTCCATCAAATAATCCAATAGCCAAAAGTTTATATTTATACCAAGATTGCCAAACAATCCCAAATCAATTTCTTCCTACTTCTTTCTTTTTCCCACTAGAGTTCAATATTCCACTTTTACTATCCAGGGGCTCTGTTTTATTGTAGCAAAATTTCACTTATTTATATCTAATCCAATCTTTAAGAAATCCAGGTTAAATAATTCCTTTTACCACTAGATGGCACTCTCTGTTATGTCCAAATTCCACCTTTTTTCTCTGTTTTTCTTTATTTAGGGCTTCCAAATCCAAGATTCCAATAAATCCAAATATCAATTATTATGTTTTTATTTTTCCTTTGACACATTCAAGTTCAGCTTTAAATTTGCCTATTTAGTGTCAAAATATTATTTTCTTCAATTTAAACAAGTATCTTCTTCAGGCTTCTCTTGTAAAATCCATAGCCACTTTCAGTTGTCAAAAGTTTTTTCCCCCTTTTCTCTCACTGTCTATATCTGGCACTTTAAATAATTCTCTTAAAAATTATTTAGAGTTTAATTTTGGGGTACCTTGTATTCAGTTATTGCAACAGATTAGCCCAGATGTTCAAGCAGTGCTCTTCTTCACCACTCCTGCACAATCTTATCCCGGCTAGGTCTTCCTGTTCAGGATGGCCATTTTAGACTATCACTCAGCCATCTTCAGAAGGGAGTGTTTGCCAAGCCAAGGAGAGGAGATGCAGATCCCCTTGACCTAGCTGGTGGCCTCCCCTTTCTTCACGTTCCTACAGCGTGGATCTGGCCCCAAATCAGGATGATTGGGCCCTTCAACAGGAGAGCACAGACCAGAGCCATGGACTATCGCAGTCTTCGGTCTATCCACGAGGATGACATCACCGGAAGCCTCATTCATCAATTTCTTTTGTAGCTGACATTAATATTAATGCAGCATTGTGTAGAATTCTAAGGCTTATTATTAACATATAAATATAGATGATACCAGCATTTTAATATGGTGTCATGCCTCCTTTTGAAGTTTGGGAAACCATGTTTTTCTTTGAGCTAAAACCATTTCTTTTGATGTGCCAAAACTAGGCTTTTTAGGGACACTAATGAGAACAAGCTACAAGTGTTAAGAGAGAAACATACAGGGTAGGCAAGGAGATGCAACATATTCTTATCTAAAGATATGTATCTTTTGTCATGTCTAAAGAAAGAAAGCAGGGCTTTATAACACGTAAACTACCTTTATTGTTTCATATGTTGCTTTCTGATATACTTATTGTATAATAAAAGTATGTACTGTACCCTATGTAAAAACTTGACCCATCTTAATAAACATTTTTTTTGCTTTGCCTGAAATACTTGTGTTTGTATCAGGAAGTGAAAAAGTCACTTTGCAAAGATATTGGGTGCAGCTGCAGCCCATGAAAAATGTAGGATGTATGAAACCATGGCTAAAAACAATTCAACTGCAGCTTAGAACTGGAAGATGGGCAGTATATATAAAAGAGCATTGTTTGTTTATTTATTCAATTTATATAGTATCTCATGTTTTAATGATTCTAGGTGGCTTACAATAAAATACATAAAACTCACAATATAACAACATAAAAAATAAAACATATAACAGTTAGACATTAAATCCACACAGTCAGGAGACAGGCTCTGTCTCATATCCAGGACCTCAGGTTCAGTTGCAAAATGCTGGCAGGGATGGTACCAATCTAACTCCAAGGGCCCCATCAAACATTATTTCCTCGATGACAGAACCTTCCTGCTAAATCAGATAAGGAAGAGATATCCCATATGTATCCCAATCTTGAAGAACTTTAGGGATGACAATCAGGACCTTAACTTGCACCTGAAAGCACACTGAAGCAATGCATTTAATAGAGTAGGTGTATCATCTCTGTTGAGTAACTGCACTAATAACTTCCCATGCTCTTGCATTGTGCGCCATTTGGAGCTTTCAAATCCTTTTAAATCATAGCCCAGGGTAAAACATATTGCAATATTCCAGTCTGAAGATCACAAGAGCATGAGTGACTATGAGCGAGGCTCTTTGGTTCAGGAATGGGTACATACGATATATAACCAAAGTTGCATGAGGGCCCTCCTAGCTATGAGTGACACCTCCTCTTCAGGTAGGAGCTGCAAGTTCAGTAAGATCCCCTGACTGGGCACCAGCAGTGCCATCCTCATCGAGAACCAAATATGAAAGGAATATATGTATTCTCCAGTTTATTAATATTAACAGGGAAAAAAACTATTTATAATACTTGTACATTATAAATATTAATGGTTTAGATGGCAGCTAAGATCCGGTTTGTTTTTTTCTCATATGTCTGTGTCTATTTCAGAACTTCCTAATTTGGCAATCTGATATTTTCTAGGACAATTAATGGGGCCAAAAGGGGAAAGAGGATTTCCAGGACCTCCAGGGAAATGTCTCTGCAACTCTCAGCCAAACGTGAATGGCCCACCATATGAGGAACCACTGTTTGGAGAAGCCTATTCCAAAGTACCTGCAGTAAGTGAGTTTGACAGGAATTAAGATGGCATATTATGTAATTGAAGCATGACTTGATTGCTTTGTTGAAGAACTGAGATAATTATAATAACTAAGCTAAATGCTTTTGAAGTGTCACTCTTGAGACATGCAGATAATCTTCACTTTCTGACTGCCTCATTTAGCAAGTTGTGACAGTGTAAAAAAAAAGCTTTGCAACCAATCTTTGAATGTACAACTACTACAATTTTATGCAGTCATGTATTCACACCTGTGCGCTTCCCAGCTGTCTTGCAATAAGCAGAGTAATGAAGAACACGGAAGAAAAATAATAAGTTGCAGTCCCATGATGCCTCATTGAACAATTATGGTGACTTCCTTATTGACTGAATGGAAAGTGATGTTGTAACTTCATTATGGTTTTCTGCTAGGCAACTATGGTGCTTAGTGATGGAGCTGCTGGTACCAATTGTGATTGCTAAGCTAGGACTACCTCTACTTAGTGCTAGCAATTATTGGGTTAACAATGTCATGCTTTGCTTCTGAATGAAAATACATTTAATGATATAATTAAATGATACATTTCAAGTACCAATAAATTCCTTATATCTTTGTCTATGACTGAATAGCACTGAAGGAGTATAATCCTATTTTCCTTATAAGGAATAAGCAAATATAAATGTATGCGTGTATATATTCTTCGTATTTTTTTCCAATCTATTTTTCTTATAAAATATTACAGTATATCCATAATAAGTTTACTTTTTCTGCCCTTAATTACATAAAAGCAAGCATTTGAGATATTGTTTAATGATTCCACCACAGAAGACTTTCAAATTCATAATATTTTTCTGAATTGGAGAGTCAGTTGGCAAGATCCAAAATATTGACCCCAAGCTATTCAGATTTGGAATCATCTCATATATTTGTACTGTGACTTATTGTCTTACATAAATATTATAGTGATTTAATCTCCCTCCTTTTTCTATTTGTAATATTCAGATTTTTGTAGTGAATAATCAGGAAGACCTGGAAAGATTAAACACAGAAAATGCCCTAGCATTCCGAAGAGATCAGCGATCTTTATATTTTAAAGATACTTCCGGATGGTTTCCAATCCAGGTAAAAAGGGGAAAAAACAGTGTAATTTTGAAAGAATTTGATTTCTTGATCGGTAAAAGGCATATTTTTATGTGGTTTTTGTATCTGATGTCTTCTTGGTTGTTTTTTAAGAAGTGATAGATACAAATTATTTTTTGTTAAATACATTTCAGTAAATTTTGGGATGGAGCTCTCTCCATGGGGAAATATGGCTGATCCCTATACTGTCTTCTATAAGGTCGCAATTCAGGCATTTGAAAGAGGGCATCAAATTATCTTTTAGAGTATTTATAATATTACTTTTTAAAATTATCCTTGTATTTGTATTTGTTACTTTGGATTACTGCCTATTAATTTGCTTATCTATTTATTTTGTTTTATTCTTTCATAAATTATTTGGGGCTATCCCAAGAGAAGATTAGCGCAGTGATAAAATATACACAGATAATATCAGTGTCTAGGGCATACTGGAATTTAGACTTTAGTCTTACGTATGAATAAATGCCATTGTATTCTGATTTTATTCCTGTCTACAAAAAAAGTACATATGTGTTTTCTTGAGGTAAAAACAGTGAAATGCAAAATGCAGAACAGAGTAAGAAATAGTAAGCAAAAGACATTGGAGGAACAATGAAAAAGGAGGGAGGAAGAAAAGAAATAAGAACTGCATCTAATTTATTGCTACTGTATTCACTATATCTCCCTATAGTTGTGTATCCTTGAAAATCATCTTTTCTTTCATCATTTTGTTGCCTAATTTCATACATTGCCTTTTGTTCCTAAAAAGGAATTGATGGACTTTACTTATTCATAACTAAAACATTGAATGGAATTCAGTTGGTCTTATTGATTAATTGATTGATTAAGCCTGGATCCAGCAACGTAATATTGCATGACAAGCATCTGTATTTTGTATATATTAATGTTTGTTTAGTCTTGCTGTATGTTGTCTAGAGTCAGTTGTTTGTGAAATGGATAGTTTTATAAATTTGAACCGTATAATTAATAATGTCATGTCTATTTGTTCTTAGATGTTATGCTTTAGGTAATTGGATTCATGAAAAAAAAGTTTTGACAATATACCCCTTCATATGTAGAGTATGGCTTACATTCTACTTTGGATATACATTTTTATCATAGTTCCCCCCAAAATAACTGATACAGGATTTCCAAGAATAAATTTAGTCAAATACTTGCAGAATACTGATTAAAAAAGAATTCAATAAAAGGTAATACGACTATCTGTTTTGTAGCCACAATAAGTCACCAATATCTATTTTTTCAAATCAGTAAGGACGGTATTGGTTGCATTTTATCAAAAAGAATTTAGTATCTACCTTTTCAAACCAACACATTTATTAAAAGGTGTCAGTTTTTATGAGATACAATCTTGTGAAAACAATTACCAAACTCTTCTTTATTTTTGGCTACCATAGACTAAAGAAGTCCTCTTCCTATATTGAGCTCCATTTATATAATCTTCTTCTGTGTCAGCAGCTAAGACCTTCCTATCCACTGGATCATCTGCTAGGAGATAGTAACATCTGTGGAGATGGCATCATTCAGGATGGAGAAGAATGTGATGATGGCAATACCATTGTGACTGATGATTGTATAAGTATGTTTAGTCCATTCATTTCTCAGTTTCTTAGTCTAGTTTATATACAAACTGGTAAAACACATCATAATTCATACATACAGCTGCATTTGGACACTAGTGCATGCAGTTCTTTTTAAAATATGATACTTGCTAACTAAAGACAGGATTTATCTTACAGCATTGCTGGTAGAAATACAGAGGTTTATGTGGAATAGGCAAGGTCAATTATTGGAATTATTAATTTAAAACCTTCCTATTAAATCTGGGGAAACTGTTTTTTTGAATACGTTTCAGACTAATTCTAATTTTTGGTTATCAGCATCCGTATTTGTATAGTAATTTGAATACTGAAAACAGAACATATTATCAACAATCCTTTATGTATCTATGACATTCCTTGGATTATGTTAGGGCAGTTTTTATTCCTGCCTTTCATTCTTTTTTCTTTTTTAGTAAATAGTGTATGAAAGAACAATCTGATATCTTCTAGATTTATTAGACTATGATTTTTACAATTGGACTGAACTTTTGTTAAAAATAAACCCCAAAAGGATGGTCATGGGTTGAGAATTATAATCTAAGATATTTTTTTGGTTCAGAAGTCTCTGCTAAGATTATGCAAAATAACTTTTCAGCTAATTGTACATTTGTTTGTTTTATTTATTTAATTGTACATTAGTTTGTTTTTTTATTTATTTTATATTATAAAATATTAGCTGTTTTCTCCTAAAATTATTTTAATATATAATTTTACACTGCTTTTGTATGTGCTTTTTTAAAAAAATGAATATGACATACGTGTTTTTGTATGATTTCTAAATTTTTATTTTGAATTTATTTTAAAATATCTCTGAAGAAATAACAAACTGGAAAGCTTTTTTGAAACAAAAATATACACCTAGGATTACATATGGATATATATATCATATGTAATTCTAATAAAAATAGTTTTTATATAAATATTTATATTTTAGTATAAAAAATTTGGAAGTAGATTTTATAGATTTGCAGGTTATCTTAAAACAAACAATCAAATGCTTCTTTTTTCACAGCTTTAATTGTTTTGAAGAAGATTGAAAGCAGATCATTTGAAATAATTAGCTGGTATTGGTGTGGTCCAAAACAACAAATAGAACTAATCTTTATGTCCCTTTCACCAAATCTTAAGAAATTGATATTGAACTTAGAATAAATGTAGTTGTATGAAAGCCAGCCAATGCCAGATGGATTATTTATGGCGGGGATACAAAGAAATGCTTCTTATTTTTAATTGAACCACAGATAATTTTTTTTAATAAAAGTTTTTGTCATATCTTTACTATTATATTATATTTATATTATAGTATATTTTATTTCCCTATTTTCTTATCTAGCCATTGATAAAATAAATCCCAATTTTGCTCTCTAATGGCAAATGTCAATTTACTCATTTCTGCACATTCCATTATTTTCTTAGTCACCTCCTCTTCTATCGGAATTTTTTCACTTTTTCAATTTTTGGCAAATACAATTCTAGCTGCTGTTAAAACATTTATAATCAGATATATCAATTCTCTACTGTAATCTTCAGGTAAGATACCCAATAAAAATATCTCTGATTTCAAGTCTATATGCTGTTTTGTCATTTTTTCCAGCCATGTATGAATTTTAGTCCAGTATCTTTTGGCTTCCACACCTGTCCACCACATGTGATAGTATGATCCAGGTATCTGATAACACTTCCAACATTTCTCTGATTTGTTCTTAAACATCCTTGCTATTCTTGCCGGGGATAGATGCCACCTATAAAACATCTTATATAAATTCTCTTTATATGCTGTTGACATTGTTATTTTATAGTTTCAAGACCATAATTTCTGCCATCTTTCTAAATCTATCCCATATCCAAAATTCTCTGCCCCAAGCAATCATTGTTTCAGTGATGGGATTCAAAAACTTTTACTACTGGTTCTGTGGGTGTGGCTTAGTGGGTGTGGCCATGTGACTGGGTGGGCATGGCTTTTTTTGCAGCCCCCACCTATTTTTGGAAGCTTCCTAGCCCCAGAGGAACCTCGGGGGGGGGTTGCTCCCCTAAGGCTCCTCTGGGGCTCTGGAAGAAAAGGAACAGAGCATGGGAGGGGCATGCAGCACCCCTCCAAACTCCATTTTGGGAGCTTCCTAGCCTCAGAAGAGCCTGTGGAGGGGCGTTTTTGCTCCCCTAAGGCTCCTCTGGGCTCTGGAAAGCAAAAAATGGAGGGGGGGCTGAGATCCTCCCTCCATTTTTTTGTCTTCCTGGGCCTCAGCAAGGGGAATCCCAACACAGCTGATCTTATCTACAGCTGATTGTCGGGAGGGAAAAAAAAGAAAGAAATACCTTAGGCGAATGTCCGGCAGGTGGGGTGAGTGAGCATCAGGCGGGAGGGCGACCGCGTGGGGGGCATGGCCAGCTAGAACTTAGTAATGGTTCGGTGACCCATGCCAAATTCTTGCTACCGGTTCGCCCGATTCAGTGTGAACCGGCTGACTATCACCACTGCATTGTTTCTTTTACTTCTTGTTCTTCTAATTTTACTCTAAGTATTCATATAATATAATGTAAATATCTCATCAGTACCTGTCAAAATTCAATCTAATTCAGTAAGTTCATATAAAATCTTTCTATCTTATGATCTTCATCATATCTAAAATGTATTTGCATATATGAATACCAATTCATCTCTATTTCTTGTTCCTCTTGTTCTTGCTTAGATTTGAGTTCAACCTCTTTATTTAATATTTCACCGTATCTTACTGTATGCTCCGTTTTATAGACAATTGGATATGAAAATGTCTCTATAGTTGACAACCAGACTGGTATTTTCATGTAATGTTGTTTCCTTATTTTCTCCCATATAAAGCATCACGAATATAGTGTCTCCTAAAATACCCATGTGTTTCACTTTCCTTATACCATAAAAAAAGTGTGCCATCCCAGTAATAGGTCATGACCTTCTAGTGTTAACAATCTAGTATTCCTTAAGACTATCCATGCTTTCACCCACATCAGTGTTGCCGCTTGGTAATATAATTCACAATTGGGTAAATCAAAACCTCCTCTTATTCTGGCATCTTGTAACAATTGTAATTTAATTCTTGCCTTCTTTCCCTGCCATATATACTTCAGTATTATTTTACTTAAATCCTCAAAATATTATTTCCCTAGTTTAATTGGAATTGTCTGAAACAAATATAAAATCCTTGGTAATATATTCATCTTAATTGTCGATATTCTCCCTATTAGAGATAATTGTAGAATTTCCCATTTTTTCAAGTCTGTTGCAATCTGTTGTTTGAGTTTATAATAATTATCTTCTGCACCACAGCTAATTCAAGCCAATTTTCTGGAACTAGACAACACAGAGAACCACAGACTAATGGCCTTGTTGAATTCATAAATATGCTATAGAAGATAACGTGGTTCATTAGTTTGTGATCATCTGTTGATTGCTGCATGCCTTCATGCAAAATGTTTAATCTGGTTACTCGTTAACTTATTTTCTCATTTCATACAACATCCTAATCCATATACTATTCATCCCAGGTATGGGCTGTGTCCATACAATATGGAAAGCTACAAAAAAAACAAAAAAACCCCACCACATTTAAAATTAGCCAAGCAGTTCTTTTGCAAGGCCAAGATCTTCAACTAACTATCTTGTTTAAATATAGTGAGTAAAGAACAAAGAGAAAAAAAATCTATGCCAATAGCTAAGCAATTCAGCTTGCCAATAGCTAAGCAGGGCAATTCAACCCTCATAAGACCATTTTCTGACTACTGACCAAATAGCTTCTTCTAGGAGAGCCAATCACTTTTGTATCACTGTAACAGTATCAAGGTCAGGCTTTTTTTGTCTCAAGATGGCTGAGCTATGCTAACAGGAAACTGTCTTAAGTCTCTGCTGACCTTTGCTGCTACACAGCAAATTTTGGTGTGCAGGAATATTGCTCCTGGGCGAGAGAAGCAATGTGCCTCTCAACATTCAGCCAGTTGAAAGAAAGACTTCAAAGTTTTACATATGTTTGGGTCCTTTCTTTTGTGGGTAGAGGTGGTATATAATATAAAACACTTATAAATACTTCTAAGCCTGTATCAATAAACTGTATTGATGTAAAGATAATTTGAATTGATAACTTAATCATTAATTGATATAAAGATAATAGATATAATCTAAGCTATATTAATATAAATATAACTATGTCTCTACAAAATAACATATTTTTGTTTTCTATTTTTAAACAATAGGATGCCACCGTGCTTATTGTGGGGATGGCTATCGGCTTGAAGGTGCAGAAGAATGTGATGGGAATGACTTTGGATACTTAACGTGCAAAACATATCTCCCTGGGTATGATCATTTTAAAACTGAATTACAGAAGACGTGTTTTGATTAAACAAATGTGAACTCAAGGGAAGCAGGAAGAGGGAGGCAGTATAATTATTTCCAGAGAAGGGAGGGATAATTAATAAGGGAGATATAGTTGATTTAAAGAAAAGCTTCCTGAAGCCTACAAATTTGAAGATACAAATCTTCTGTATTGGCTTAGAGTGATAAGAAAGATTAATTTTATTCCAAATCAATAGTTGCAGAGCGATAGTGAAGTGATCTGCAAAACTATTCATTCACCTCTAATTACTTGGAAAATAAAGAGGAATTAAATTCTGAAGTGAAAAGATTGGATGAGTAATTGTGTTCTAGAGATAGTTGCACATTATCAGGAATATTTGATTTTCGTTATGTAGACACACACAAAGATATATGTGCATAGGCACAGATCATTTCTGCTTTCCTTAGTTCTCAGACAACTGTGGAAGGCAAGTAAAATCAAGGGGTGATCCTGAAGGACAAAAAATTGTGGAGAAAGGTGACAGTTTCCTCAGATTTACTACACTCTGGAATTGGAGGAAACTAGTCTGAAAAAAGCGATATTAGGTTTAAATTTGAACTGAAATTTTATTGGCTCGTTCAGCAGGTCTCCAACCTTTTAGCTTCCCATAAGGTTTTAAATGCTTTTACATCAAGCATTGGGAGAAGATTAGATGCACATTAGAACTAAATTGTGCCAGATTTTAAATTAGTTGAATTTTATACTTTTAAGTGATTTTGTGCTTCTTTAAATTTTTTGGGTTGCTGCCCAAAGTTGATTGAAAGATGGGTAGCTACATAATTTTTTATAATAACAAATAGATAAATATTGTAAAAGACTGAAGGCCAAACAGTGAGTGATATTCAAAATATGGATGAGTCCAAATTAAAAATTAAAAATGACATTTGATTATATTTGTTTAGTTAATTAAATCTAGTTTAAACTAACATTAAATGTATAGTTAATTAAATTCAATTAATGATTTCAGTAAATGCATTTCAGTTCCTTTATTGTTTGGTAGCATTTGAGTGAGCTCCAGAAAATAGACTACAGTTTCGGAGTAGAAAAGGCCATGTGGTTACATATTTACTTTTGTGTGGCTTCCTAAATATGAATAGCTATCAAGGCAATGAGGATTTTTATAAACCATCTTCTCATTCCCCAACTACTTTTGAATGTTCCATGCTGCTTGGAACGCTTCTAAGAAACAAAAACCATATAAAAGTAGTTCTTGGCTAATATTACAATAGTGCTGAACAAGTTTTACTTACAACAGTTCCTCAGTGTTATGCCTGTTGTTATGCCTGATGTGCCTCCACTATCACATGATTGTGTTTTGACTACCTGGCAACTGACTAGCATTTACAATGGTTGTAGCATCCTATGGTCACATGATTGCCATTTAGGGCCTTCCCTGCCAGCTTGCCACAAGCAAAATAAACGGGGAAACAGCAGGGAAGGTAGTGAGTTGCTTCTGCTCCCCTTGCTTTTTCTCTTGAGGAACCCACTAAGGAGTACGAGATCCCTGCCTGCATTGCACAGCCACATCCAACCTCCAGCTGTGTTTGCCCAGGCCACAACATCCACCCCCTGCATATTTTCACTTCACAGCACTATCACCACCATCCTACTTGCAAGTTGCCTAAGATGATTGTTACTTGCAACTCCCTGTTGGTTTCTCCATTAACTTTGCTTTTTGGAAGCCAACGGGAAATCTTAAGTCATGGTCATGGTCACATGACATCCTCGCTTAACACCTATGATCCTCTCTTAATGATGGCAGAAAGGAATGCCGGGATCACATGACGTCCTGCTTTATGACTGCACCACTTAGGAAGAGAAATTCTTGTCCTAATTATTGACATTAGGAGAACTATTTGAGTGGAGAACATAATTTGGCCCCCTTTTTCTCTTCACAGAACATGTTAACTATTGAGTACCAAATTACTAAAATTTGATTAAAACTACTATTATAGATTCCAGTACCAGAATCTGAAAGTTTGAATGTATCCTCCTTCTTGCCCTTTATCTTCCAAAAAATTAGGGAAGATAAAAATCTGAATAAAATTCTCCTCCTCCTCTTTCACAAGGTTATTTTCATTTCTTTAAATTTCATTCACATACTGGAACTGTCTCCAAAAATATTGCTGTGGTTGTTCCCAGCAGGTTACTTAACTTGGATCTTTGCTTGCTTGCAATCTGATTTGTATGTATTGAAACAACCAGTTTTCTTTGGTTAGCATATCTTTTTACCTGCAGTGGCTGTTGTTCTGCATGCTGTCAGATGCTCTTGCTATTTTACGGGAAGCATTTAATTTGTAAATGAAATTATCTGCAGAGCCCTCTTGGGACATTTTAATTGGCAGGAACAAGAAAGATAGCTCTGCCAAAACTCGGCTGAGTTGATGGCCTGTATCTAATTGTAACTTGCCATAGAACCATGTCCTGCTGTAGATCTGTTTTGAAAGGCAAATGATTGTATGGACATAATTGATGCAAACCCTGAAAAAGATTACCTACCGATAGTGAAAATTAAAAACAGGGCTTCAATTCCAGGAGACCCTCTTGGGCAGTTTCCAGGTGAGATTTTCATTGGCAGGCTGCTCTGGTTTATTACAAGATGATTTTGTAACCCTTTAACTATATTTTGTAATCCTTAGCAACTTACATTTTCGCAGCCTTTGACTGTTTCTTGTTTCCTTCTATGGAATCCACTTTGTCAGAAAAACCTGGAAGAGAAGTGAAAGTATAAAAGGCATAATATCCTACACAGAACTTCACTCCTTTGTACTTTTATTTCCTTTTTTTAATTGCACTTTTATAACTTTGTAAGTAAGTCATGATAGCATGATTTACCTACATTCATCCCCTCATTTTCCTCATAGCAACAACCCTTTGAGATGGGTTGGGCTAAGAAGGAATCATTGACCCAACTTAGCTCCACTGACTTTCATAGCTAATATAGGACTAGAACTCTCAGTCTCCACTGTACCAGATTGACTGTTTAGTAGTATGTATTGACCAAGCTTGATTAGGAACTTCTCCAAAATAATGGAATGATGGTTATAACTATTGCCAATGGCAGCTTATTTTATTCTAGAAAGGGGACTTATTTTGCATTATCTTCATGTGACAATTTTATGTTTCTTTCTACAGAAAACAGAATTCAAAACCTATTCTTAATATCTTTAAATTCAATTTTGTCTAAAGGATTAAGACTATCTGTTTAATTGAGTACCATTTTCTTCCAGTTTGTTTGAAAATTTGCTATATATAAAACCTTCAGTTTCTTTTCTTTTTAAGGGTTCATTTTAAGTAAAATTAAGCCTTCTTAAATGTGCTATGAGTAAAAAAAATAGGTACAAATGGAAACAACCAATACACGCAATATGTCAATTACAAAAGGCAGCTTTACTTGGAGCAGTTTACATCTCGTGGCAATATTGTTAACACCTTCAGACAAGAGCTTCTGCCTATTCCAGGTCTTTGGGAAGGACTCAATAAGTGGATAAAAGGGGCACACCATAAACATGTGGCTGTTAGTGCAGTGAACTATAATAAATAATAGCATTTAAATTATAATAAATAATTTATATGTCATGTCTGCCTTATCTTTTCTCTTAGGTCTTATGGAAAATTACGCTGCACTTCTTACTGTTACATTGACTCTACAGATTGTCGCTATTTTACATGAAAAGTGAGTGGTAAGAAAAGAGTAATCTATATATGACATGCATGCATCAGGTGCTACATTAGTATCATCAAACCAAGACTGGACGATGGAGAAACAATCAATGCTGAAACAACCATTGTCATGTTGCCATGATGATTGGAGATAAATGTTAATTGCCTGATCACAGTGGAAGAAAAACAGACCATTCTTTCCTGTCTCAGTAGAAAACATCCAGTGATCGTAACATTCAAGATTTGCCTTTTTCATGACTGGCTGAATGAATTTTCCTCTGTATCAAGAACAAAAACAAACCAAAGGAACACAATATTTGACTTCATACTGTTAGGTTATTAAAATACAATAATACCTCAATTTAGCACTGTTAGTTCTTCACCTAAGCTCTTCAGGTTTTCTTAACAAGACTTTTCAAGAATAAAAACAAATCATAATCTGTTGGAAGTATTTATAAGGAGTCTTTTGTTTTTGTTTTTAAATTATTATTACAATGTGAAATTTGTACATGCTTTAACTGCATGAATTACATGGAAACACTTTATGTTTGTTGATTTGGGCAATTTAAGTTGCAGTCAAATGCCCTCTAATGTTGTATTAAATATCACTGAATTCATTCTAACTTAACTTCTGTGCAGATCTGCCCAAGAACTAAAGGGAAATAAAGACTATTTAGTTTTAGTTTTTTTAAAAAACCAACAAACCAACAAACCTACATTAAAAAAGAAAGATGCAATGAGATTAAATCATACTTGCTGACAGTTTAAATGGGACAATTAGGAAGGAACCACATTTGCTGGCTAATAACACCAATGAAATAGACACAGTTCAGAATCCTAGGAATAGGATCAGCTTCTAATGCTGAAAGAAATAATGCCTTGAGCATATTCATATTCCAGGCAGCTAAAGCCAACATGGCCAATAGATGAGTAATGATGGAAAGTACAGTTCAGCGACTTCTGGAAGACTGCAGCACATTGTATTTAAAACTAAGGACTCCTATGCAAGTTTATACAGGTGCCAGTTTCATGTCCAGTGGGTCTAAACATTCAGGAAACTGTGGTTAGGATTGTAGTCAGATTTCCTGTAATTCCAGGACAGTAGTTCATATGGAGCAAGCTAGTGAATATACTCTTCCATACATTATATTCATGAAAATATTTGGAAATAATCCTAAGCGAATTCATCTAAAATATACACTGTTACATTTACCACTGCATGGAAGGTTGCATTTGAAACACTGAGTTGCATTAATGATAATTGTTGAAAAACTTTCAATCAAACTTTAATTCTGGCTTATTTGCCAGGAAGTATTAATTAGTTGCTCACTTTTATTGATTTCTGGTCTGATAATTGTTTTCAAGTCTCAGCTTTGTATAACATTATATATGATTGTGTATATATTGTATTTGTACAGCTTAGTTTAAATGCTGTATAGATTTTGTATGTATATAAATGGCTTTTCTTTTCCTATTTTCTAAAAAAAAAATTATCAATCAGAATATTATTTACTTTATAACAGACATTAAAAAGGAAATTTTACATTGGAAATATGCTAAGATACAAATCAAAACTTTAAATGCAGGTAGATTAATTTTTCATTTAGTGAAATACCCGTTCAAATTAAAAGAGTTAAGATAGGCCACTCTTTTCCTGCTATTATTGATCCAAAATATATGTTTGAAATGCATGAAACTTGTAAAACATTGGTTACTGTTATATCCTGCTTTTTCTGTAGATATTAAATACAGAGGAGAGCACACAATTATAATAAAATTAAGCTAACAATTATTCATCCTTTTTACCATAGATATGTAGATGTTAAGTCTGCATGTGTAAAGTATTGTGAAAATATTTTTTTAAATAAAAACCATTCCATTATTCAAATTGGTGCTCCTTTATCTGAATTTCTTGTATTGATTTCCCCCAATTTGAAATTTTACCAGATGTGCTCAATTACAGCTTTAGTCACGTAGAATCACCTTCTGTCTATACAGGCTGTACTTCAACACCTCTGGAGGATTTTACATGGAAGAAGTCTTGCTTACATTATAATAAAATTTCTGGGCATAATCGCATGAATGAAAGTTGTGCCAAGGTCACTTAAGTTCGGTGGTATAACTTTTCAGATGCTTTTTAATTGTGTGCTCAAGTTGCATACAAGCAGGATTTATGGTGCCAAATTTACTATGAATTTGCCCAACAGCTACAATACTCCGTGGTTGTGGATTGTTCCTAGTGACTATCATATGCTCAGGGTGGGGTGCTCAGAAGACTATATTTGTACTATAACTTCTCTTTCTTCAGGGTTTAATCACATGTCCATACTGTATTTCAAATCTATGACTGCATTCTCTGAACCTGTTCCAATTTATTTGAATCCTTTTTAAGATTGTGGTGTCCAGAATCGGGCTATTCAAGAAGAGGTCTGATTAGTGCAGAATACAAAGAAACTCTTTCTTCTCCTGATTTGGAAATTATCACTGCAAACAATCTCCATTTGAGTAGGATTGATTCATCTTCACTCAAGGATCAGCTCCAATTCTAGACCATGTGTTCTTGTTAAGATGATGTAAATTTGGAGGAAATCATAATTAATCATATGTTAAGAATTTCACGCTGTCTTGAAACCTCTTGCTGCAATGTAAGAATATTCCAGGAAGACATTTCATTTAGAACAAAAGTCTATGAAACTCTCATTTTATGCTGCTACTGGCCAGAAGACGAAATAGTAATGTTCAGTGTAAAATCTCTCTTTAGTCATTAGTTGTGAATTGTGGATATGTACCTAAAATCTACTAAGAAATCCCATTATTTATTTGGCAGAGAAAGCCACTCTGGAAAAAAGATTACAGATTTAAACTTTTAAATTGGGTTTCTTCCCCTCTCCATCCAGCCTTTTTTCATTTCAAAGTTTCATTTATTATTGCATTTATCTACATATTATCATTAGTGAACTCCAGCAGTCTTCTGTTCCCCCATTTCTCATTTCTCTGTTGCTGTTTGGCAAAACTTCAAGTTCTAAGAGGCTGCAGCAAAAAGTCTTGTGGTATGTTTTGATTGCATTTATGATCTCTGAGCCAGTTAAGACTGATGTCAATTTATTCAACAAACAAGATGCTATCTCTGATAGGGTCAGCTAACCGGGATTGTATTAAGAGAATGCACTCCTACTGGAAATTACATTATAGATTTTTAAAATTAGGTTGTTTTTTTAAAGAACCAAGATTTTTTTTAAAGGATTATTTTATGCACAAGCATCTTACTCTTCTTCTTATATTTTAATATTTTAAGTATTTATTTTGGCTTGATTTGTAAGAGGTGTAAGTAGATTAGGAACTAATGAAGTGTATATTACCATTAATGCTTACTACTCTATTCCCAGACACATAACTGTATTTTGGGCATTGACAACCAAATCTGTTTACAATCAATTGCAGAATTTTGCTGTCATGTGACTGCAATTTTTGACATCTTTGCTGGTTTGAGACTTTTCAGAAGCAAAAGTATGCAATTTAATTTTGCTCTCTATTAATTAAAAAAAAAACTTAAGAAATATGTATTTATAACTCTAATGCCCTTGAAAAGAAGCAGATCAAGAACAATAAATGCAAACAATAAACCATGGTGAATTTTCTAAGTCCTATAAAATATTTGACAGTATGTGTATGCTTTTTCTAAATTACAAAACATACAAAAAAGCACTAACATCCAAACACCTATCAACCCACACTGTTCTCATGCTATGTTTTAGTATAATGCCGCATTTTTGAAGAAATGGCAAGATGCTTTCCTTCTCTTCAGATTCTACTTGCAGTGAATGTTTTTAGATGGCTACTTCAAGCAGCTATCAGCTACATTTGATCTGTGCATCTGTCCCATGCTATTTGCTCTATTAAAGAAATATGGCTTTTTGTGTCTACTAAAACGGTTAACAGCAATTGCAGTTTTTATAGCACCAATTTACTATGAGAAAACAAATGAAATAAAACCATATAGAGTTGAAAGAGGGGACAGCTGGACAATTCAAAACCTATCTTGAACATCCCAAAGCTCCCTGGGAAACAGTTTTGCTTATCCTACATTCCAGAAAAGCTAGAACTACAATGAAGGAAAACGTTCATAGCAGACCATGGTCTGTACTATTTCTGTGATGGGCTTCTGACAAGGGATGGGTTGCACCTCAGTGTTTTTGGAAAACGACTGGCTCAACTTATCAGGAGGGCTTTAAACTAAAATTGAGGTGGGAGGATGAGCAATCTTTAGGATCTCCAGGACCTAATTCCAAGCAAAAACCTCTAGAAAGCAAGTCAAATAATGAAGTAAAGAGGGATGGAAAGGAAGACAAATTCAAACACCAAATAAGAGACATAGGAAGCATACCCAGTATCAGACATAAAGATCTCAAGTGCCTATATACAAATAAAGTCTGGGAAACAAATAGTATGAACTCAAACTACTAATACATGAAGGCAGATATGATATTAGTTGGAATAACAGAACCCTGGTGGGGTAAAATCCATGACTGGAACTGATAGAAGGATGCAAACTGTTCAAAAAAAACAAAAACCAGATCCCATAAAAGAGGAAGTGGAGTTGCACTGTATGTAAATATTGCTACAGAAATGCTTGAAACCAAAGAGGAAAAACTGAACAAGGAGAGATTTAACCTGGAAGTAAGAAGACATTTTGTGACAGAACAATGAATCAATGGAACAGCTTGCCTTTGGCAATTATGGGAGCTTCATCACTTGAGACTTTCAAGAAGAGATTGGACTGCCATTTGTCAGAATGGTGTAGGGTCTCCTGCTTGGTGTAGGGCGGGGGTTGTACTAGATGACCTACAAGTCCCTTCCAACTCTGTTAATCTATATCTGTGTCTATCAGTCAGAAAAAAGATCTGAAATTCTTCAGATCACTCTTGGGGGACATTTATGGGATAACTACTTTATTTTCCCCATTAACTGAAAAATGGCTGTGATCCAATTCTGGAGAACCGGTAGCGGAAATTTTGAGTAGTTCGGAGAACCAGCAAATAATACCTTTAGTTTATAGCTCAGTACTCTGTATAAGAATATGGGGTTGAATAAAATACAGTTCAGTTAACTAGAGCAAAATTCATCATGCCAATGCAGCCAGATGTTTGACTGTGGACTCTCTCTCTCTCAGTCCTAAGAAGTAGCCAATGGCAAACCACTTCCAAACAAATATTGCCAAAGGAACTGCAGGGACTTGAAAGTATTATCACTCCACAAAAAAATAGAAGGGGGGGAGGGAAGGTGGAAGGAAGGATGGATGGAAGTGAGTCTTTTTTGGAAGAGTTTCCAATCTGGAAAGCATAATTCCCTTTCCCTTTTAATAGCAATTTTATTAATGATTACAATTATAACAGTAAAAACTAATACGAACTAAAAAGAAAAAGAAAAACAATAAGAGAAAAATAAAGAAATATTTTTTAAAATTTAAACAGCCAGAATTTAGAAGGCAGCAATAATCAGCAAGTGTGCTGTCAGCGCTCCAAGCAATGTACCCATTGAAGCAGAACTCCAAGGCAGGTAGATTCCTCAAAGAACAAGGTATTGGATACACCATATTGGCACAACTGGTGAAAACCGATGTTTTCGTCTAATTAAAAAGTAAACGTTCTCCCTTTCCCCCCAGGTAGTGGTGCCAGCAGGTTGCCTGGTTACTCCACTCCTCCTCTTCTCAGCCATGTTTTGGAATAATCCCACAAGAAAACTTTTTATTTTGATGGCAAAGCCAAGCTATCTAATTTCCCCCCCCCCACTTTCTCCGCTCTGTTTTGTGGAAACCATGAAGCCTCAAAGATGGCCTCAGGAAGGTTTGCTTCAGGGTTGACACCTGCCTCTGCAAAGAAGCTAAAGAAACAGTGGACCACTTGGTCAGCAGCTGCAAAAATATTGCACAGACTGACTACAAACAACCACACAATAAAGTAGCAGCAATGGTGCCTTGGAAGATCTGCAAAAAAATACCAAGCAAGATGGCACCGTAAAATAGAGAAAGTAATAGAAAATAAAGAAGCTAAAGTCCTCTGGGAATTTAGAATTCAAGCCAACAGGCACTTGCCATTTAACACTGTAGGCTTATCAATTGTTGATAAGAAAGATTAAAAAGTTTGGATAGTAGATATTGCAGTACAGAATAGAATAAAAAAAAAACTGGAGAAGATAACAAAATACAAATACCTGCAAATAGAAATAAAACAGCTGTTGCAAAAAAAGAAAAGATAGTACCAAAGATAGCAATAGGTAACTTGCATGCAATCCCAAAACAGCTGGAGCACTGCTTGAACACTATGGCATTGACAAAATCACTATCTGTCAATTTTATTTAGAACAGCTTACTTCCTGCAACAATATCTTTGACACCATCAACAATCTACACCTGTTTAACCTATGTCCTAGGAAAGGACTTGAGAGCTGAATAAAAATCCTAAATCTAGTCTGAACATCTGGCTATGTGACAAGCCACAATAATAAAGAAAAATAAAAGAAATAGATAACAAGTGCTTACGGCCTTTATTATATCAAATATAAACTATTTTAGTATTTATCATTTCTTGAAATAACAACAAATGATCTTTTCTTCCCATATTGTATCCTTCTATGAAGCTTTGCAATGTCAGACCTGATATCATTTGCTATTTATTTCAAAAAAGCTTTTTTCTTAAAAAAAAAAGTCTTAAACTTGTAACTAAAATTTCTTTTGCTAGGGATTGAAGGTTAACGCACAATGATGTAAAATCATAGAAAATTTCCTTTCTACCAGATTTTAACTGAATAACTGAAAAACAGTTAATAAGCAATTTC